TTTTAAATTGCTCAATAAATAAAAAGAATATTAGAAGTCATGCATCACCTATATATAGTTCTAAATTTTGTAAATTTTACTACTTCTTTCTTCTTCTTTCTTTGTAAGCCTTGGTTTTTATCTCTCTACCTCAAGTTTATTAGAGGTAATCATCTTTCGTTGTTCATCTTCATATTTTTCTTCCACAATTTAGTTTTTGTTTTAGATTTTTTCTTCTTATTTTGGTTGTTCATTATTTTAAGGTAATACATTTGATTTTATTTTATTTCTCACTTTGCATCGTCTTTGTTTCACAATCGAGATATTGTGTTTCATTTTGGTTAAATGCAAAAGCAACGCGCTTTAGCTATTTCATTTTGTTCTTATAATGATCATATTAGTATCGATAAATTTGTTAAATCATTAATAATTGGTAGATAGTGTATGAGACAATAATGTAATTAATATTTTTAAAAATTATTAAATCTTATTCTTTTATATAATTTATATTATATTATTATAAGTACACTCTAAGCGCGTCTATCCATCTAGTTATTGTTTTCTTATTCTGAGTGTAATTGGATTCCTTTCTTACTAGTAGTAGTTGCATTGCGTACTTTGTGTTGGTCCCTTCTATTTATTAATTAAAACATCACCAGTTGCATATGGCATAATAACTACTAGTATAAAAAACTATCAATATTATAATTAAAAATAATGCCTCCCTTTAAATTTTCATTTGTTATATAGATTGCATTAAAGTGAAAGTTTAAACAAAATAGTCATTTTCAAACAAAAAAAAAAAAAAACTAATTTTGATTTGCTCATATTTTTATTCATAGAATCTATCCAACAAAATATGAATATAACATAAAATTCTATTCCGCCTATCCAAATAAAAATGACAGAGCGAAAATCATGTTTATTGTAGTCTTTTCATTAAACGAACATGACCTCTTTTTCCTTTTTCTCTTTTTCTTAACGGATGGAGTGTTAGTAGATGTTAGATTTTCCTCATGAGTTGCCACTCAAATTAAAGTAGACATGGTTAAATGTAGCATTTGAAATAATAAAATTTATTTATCTAATATTCATCACGTTCCAAAAATAATTGTTCAATTTTAATTTTGTTTTTTACATTTAATTGTACGAAAAATAAAAATAGCTCATCATTTCGCTACAATTTAAATTCTATTCAGCCTACCCAAATGAAAATGAACTCATTCGGCGGTGTTAAGGACAAATGATTAAAACCACTCCTAAACAGCCTTCAAAACAAGGTCAGTTATCCGTTGAAATTAAGAGTCTTTTTCCAAGATTAACAATCTCATTACCACCATGGATGTAAGTTTAGACACATCTAGCATGAAACAAATGTTGTAAGAGATGAATTAGTAAAAATGGCCAGCTCACAAGAACTGATGATACAGTTCACCCATACCTCCTTAACTCGTCTAAAAGGGCTAGTTGCACTAGATCAGAAAAGTTTCTACTATATAAGAGCAATGAAACTGTAGCTCTACAGCTCCACGGCTCATAGGTGTGAGTCTATATGCTGAATTTAGTATTTTCTTCATTCAAAATCAATAAAATCATATTTACTTAAAAAAGCAAAAAAACAAAAAACACAAAAAGCCGAACGCACTCAGACTAGGTTATTCAAAACATACATTCCGAGAAGAGAAGCTAATCATCATACTATACTATAATTGCAGAATGCTGATTGAGTTTAGTAGTCCTTTTTTTAAGTGTTAACTAGCATTTTTTTTTTTTTTACCAAGAAACTGAAAAGATGTAATATTAGAATATTGATTGAGTTTGGTAATCCTTGAACTTTTTTTTACTTTTGATCTACTTTCATTAATAATTTTCTCTTTAATTTTTACTTTAAAGATTATAAACCACTTGATATTTATGATTAAGTGAATTTGATCTGTCAAAAAATATCTTTAAGTGTCAATTATGTTTTTTATTACCAAAAAAATGAAAAGACGTAAATGTTACAATTTGACAATCCTTTAAGGACCGGATGCACTTTTCGTCCCCCAACTATTGACGGTAGCAAGATCGATCACCATATTTTTGGTACTCCTTGAATTTTTTTACCTTTGATCTACTGTCATTAATAATTTTCTCTTTAATTTTCATTTTAAAGATTATAAACCACTTGATATTCATGACTAAGTGAATTTGATCTGTCGAAAAATATCTTTAAGTGTCAATTATGTTTTTTATTTCCAAAAAAATGAAAAGACGTAAATGTTACAATTTGACAATCCTTTAAGGATCGGATGCACTTTTCGTCCCCCAACTATTGACGGTAACAAGATCGAGTCATCATGAATTTTCAATTAGCAAAAACAGTCCCCTGAAATGTTTTTCTCATCAATTTCGGTCTATTTAACAGAATTTTTTTAAACTTAAATGTCAAATTTTTTTTTCGGTTAAGTATTTAATTTTTTATTCCTTTCTTTATGAATGTGGGGTCCACTACTTTGACCCAATAAAAAAAATCTTTTTTCTTTTTCATTTCTTTTTATTTTAAGTTTCAATCTGATGATGACGACGAACACGACAGAGGTTCGGGGGGCAGCGGCGATGATGCTTTCCCTTGGCTAGAGGAGTTGAGGAAACTCCGGATGGCCGAACTCAGGTAAGAGGTTCATCGGCACAACACTTCGATCTGGTAGGAGAAAACCACTTAAAATTCGACGGGACAAATTCATTACCTCCTTTATGCAATTTTCACTTTTTCAGCGAGACCTCCACTCCTTCCTTCATCTTTCTCCTTGTTTGGAAAGACCAAAATTCACTGCCAATAATTCCATGGAACTAGGAACCAAACATGAAACATCTATTCATTTCACATAGACAAATTCATCACCTTCATTTTCAACCCAGAAAAAGTACTAATTCATTACGTCTTCCCCCAAACCAACCAAATAACAAAGCCTTGTTAATTTATTTACTTCCCCTACCTCAGATACAGAAGGGAAAAAGAATTTCATCGATTCCAATATGAACGAGATAAAAAAAAGTTATAAATAAATCTGGTTAGACTCTAAAAAATATACCAATTTTTTTAAAAAAACAAATAAAATTGTGAGACAAGAATCTTTTCACATCCTAATCAGATCATTGTGCAGGTTGGGCCCAAACAGACCAAATCTCAAGTTCTCTGCAAATCGAATCTCAACATTATCATTATGCCAACAAAGTCAAAACCATCATTTATGAAAGAGCATAGTAGAATTTGGTTCTGCTTTTTTCCCCACTAGTCATCATAGATAAACCCAACGAGGCCTAAATCAAAGAAAAGATCTAGCAAATCGAAGTATTTTCATGGTATAAGGAGATTATCGTTATCCCGGAAACAAAAGTTTTCTCCTTTATGACAATTCCAAATCTTAATTGTCGCCAATCGGAGAAAGATTGCCGAACAAGGATGAAAGGAAAAGAAAATTTTAGATTTTTTTTAAAAAAATATTAAATCTTAAAATTAAAAAAAAAGAAAAAAAGAGATTTTTTTTGTTGGGTCAAAGTAGTGGACCCACATTCATAAGGAAATAAATAAAAAATTAAATACTTAACGGAAAAAAAGTTTGACAGTTAAGTTTGAAAAATTTCGGTTAAATATACCAAAATTGATGAGAAAAATATTTTAGGGGTCTATTTTTGCCAATTGATAATTCATGATGACTCTATCTTGCTACCCTCAAAATCTAGGGGACGAAAAGCGCATTCTGTCCATCCATTAATACTCAAACTTTTGATCTACTTTCATTCCCCTTTTATTTTTATATTAAAAATTATAAACAAATTAATATTCATTGTTAACTAATCTTTTTCTTTTTTACCAAGAAAATGAAAGATGTAATTTTAGAATATTGATTGAGTTTGGTAATCCTTTAATGATTTGACTTTTGATCTTCTTTCTTTAAAAATTTCCTCTTTAATCGTTATTTTAAAAATTATTAAAAAATTAATATACATGATTAGGTGAATTTGATCAGCCAAAAAATATCTTTACGTATCAACCATATTTTTCTTTTTTCTTACCAATAAAAGTAAAAAGACGTAGATGTTACAAGTTGGTAATCCTTTAATAGTGTAATTTTGATCTCATTTCATCGGTAATTTCCTCTTTATTTTTTTTTTCAAGATTATAATCAAATTAATATTCTTATCCTTTAATATTCTTATTTTTATTTATTTTGTCACTTTGAATTCTTATTGTCTTTTCTTTGCTCTTCTTTGAATTTTAAGACTTTATTAATGATAATACATTTAAGAGATTGCTTCATAACTCAAAAGAAATGCTTAGAGTTTTGTTTCTCGGATTCTTTAATATATAATTCTTAGTAATAAAAATTTTGTAACATTTATCTTTTCTTTCTTTCAAGTATCTCCCTTCTACACTCAGCGACCTCTCCATGCCAATCCTATTGGATGTAACTACGGAATCATTATTTTTTATTTGGCGTCCTCCATTTCTAAAATTTTCAGTTTTGATATTTCTTTATTCTTTCTTGTTTTTTTTTTTTTTTGTTGTGATGCAAAAGTTTGATTGTGTTATATTGTTCAATTTTTATGTGTGTTTGTCATTTTTTTAATTTTTACCTCACTAAATTGTCAATAATTTTTTCAACATTATTATATAGCATGCGTGCTAAGCCCGTCAATTCCATATAGTCAAATGTAATTATGACATATACAATGAGTGAGCACGTTTTCGCAAGCTTCCTTCAAGATATTATTTTGATCTGATGTGCACGAGGAGTAATTCGACTATTTTGACTATCATGAAATTCAATGAAATCTTTCTTTCTAGGAAGGAAATTAAAAAGCGAAAGAAAAAAAAAATCTACTTTATTTTGGTCATTGATGATGTAACTCTTCGTTTATCTTTTTCTAATATGATTGATTAAATTAACCCGTCTTTTTCAAATCTCAATTGGAAACGGTACCATCAGATATGTCCAAGAACAGTAATCGTCATATTGACTATTTAATCAAGCCGTCTTTTTCTTATCTTTATTGAATTCCTCTTTATGTTTCCGCCTTGTAGACTTTGATCATATCTCCAAAAGATGGCCTCTGATGCTGGGAACCCAGCAAAGAAAACGAAAGATGAAGAAGAAAAGCCCACGAATTTCTTAGATGCACTTCCTCGAGAAGTGGCTGTTGGTATCATCTCAAGGCTGCCCATAAGATCCCTTATTCAATCAAGGTTCGTATGCAAATTTTGGCGAGAGTTATCATGTGATCCACATCTTGTTAATTTGCATCTATGCAGAGTTTTAAAGAGCAATAATCCATGTTTCATATTTCATTGTGATGTCCCAATAAAGAATCACCTTTACTTTGTTGAATCTCTGAATCAAAAAGAGGATGTTGATGGTAGTATTAAGTTAGAGAAATTAAGAAGGATTGATGCACCTTTTTCCGATTCAGTGCCTGAATTTAATGTGATTGGATCTTGCAATGGTATCATTTGTCTTGAGGATTCGCTTTTCGAAGAGGCACTGTATTTGTACAATCCCTTTACTCAGGATTATGCGAAACTGCCTAAGTCCAGAGTTTTTGAGGATCAGGTAGTTATGTATGGATTTGGATTTCATCCTGTTACAAACGAATACAAAGTGATAAAGATAGCTTTTTACCCAAGTACTCTTGACATGAATGCTGCCTTGTCATTTCGCCGGTTTGCGAGGCAAAGGAATGCAAAATCGGATGTCCAAATATTTACTCTGGGCAGTGACAGATGGAGAAGTATTGGAAGTACACCCTTTGTATTTCAGAGAAGGTCAAGTCCTGTTTTATTGAACGGAAGATTACACTGGACGACAGTATACGACTCATACAATGGCCGGCCAGACCGGCTTATAGTATCATTGGATATAGCGGATGAGAAATTCAGGGAGATTCCGGGTCCTGAATTGAATCATAGGATGAGTCGGCAGAATTACCACCTTGCAGTTTTGGTAGAGAACCTCTGTGTTGCTGTTCCCATGGCATCGGTTTCCGGGACTTTAGATGTTTGGGTTATGAAAGAATACAACAGGAAAGAGTCTTGGGTAAAAGAGATGAAGATTCCAATTTATACTCCTTCACTGAAGACTCGAGAATATTCTAGATCATATGGGATTTGGCGAAATGTTTTGGTTGGGAAGGTCGTTCGGGTTGTATGCTTGTTAAGCAATGGAGATATTCTGTTGGAGTACAAAGGTGGCTTGCTGGTTTCTTACAATCAAGATACAGGAATGTTTAGGGATATAACATTTCCAGGACTTCCTAATCCATGCAAGCTTATTGTTCATGTTGGGACACTTAACCGAGTCATGGCTCCTTCCGAGATTTTGACCCAACCAACCCTTGCTTAATACGGAGCAAAGCTAAGGAGATTGAATTCATAAAATGCAACACTTCTGGAAATGGCGAGAGACAAATAGATGGAGCAGAAATGACCTTTATGGATGTGATATCATCTCATTTTCCCTATGTAACATTACTTCCAATTGTGCAAAGTCATTTCACTCTCGGAGTTAGTAGATACTTCTCATTGTCATTTCATTTGTGCAGGTGATTAGTTCTCATGGCTATTTATGAGCACCAATATTATGTTCTTTAACGCACTTATCATATCTCAAAGTTAGCCGCAAGCTTTCATTGATTAGAACAATGTTTCAAAAAAGATCAGCGAAGAAGTTTGTTAGTTAGGATTTAGGAAGCCATGTTTGTTCCAAACGTAGGCATCATTCTATCTGTAAAAACAGAGTGAAGATATAGGGTACTACTTAGGTACCTCCTATAAAAAACAATTGTCCTGCATGTTGTGATATTTTTAGCACAAAAAACGCGATAATCATTTTGAGACGGAGGGATTGTGAGATGGGTTCTTGGTATGGTATGTTAAGGAATAGTCTTTATTGAAGTTCTTGGTTTGAAGAAACCTGGAAAGACTCTCAAAACATGACGTTATCCAAGAAATTAACTGCAGCTTGCAGCTTTCACCACGAATTTGAAGAAATTGAAGACTAATTAATTAATCATGACCACGAATTGTCTTCTCAACTCAGTTCAGCTAACGATGATGAATGCAAAGAGATGATTAAGCACATAACTAAAAGTTCGACTTGTATGTTTCATGCCAATCATTTTCTTCTTCCAATATTTGCTTCGAAATTCAAACCACTTCCTTGGCAATTGTAAGTAAGACACAACTCTTTGTAATGTTAATTGTCACGAGGTTCCCGGAATGGCGGAATCCATCATTTAACAGACCAACTCTCATTGTTTATTAAGTATCACCAGAGGCAGCACAACAACTTTCGACAAATTCACTTCATTATCAAAGAAACACCCTATCTTGTTAATAGGATCAATCAACCAAACAAAACAAAAAATAGGCTCAACCTTTACACCATAAGAAAGCTACCATCCCATTTTCAACATTTACACAACGAATTGAATTTATACAATGAAGTTTAACTTCTTGAGTTTCATTTATGCTCCAAGAAACTATATCCAGGATACATCAACTTCTTGAAAGTTGAACACGCAATCACAACACAGTTTGGCTGCCGGGAGTTCAGGTTGGACCGGCTTGATTGCCTCAGTCTGCAATTTCATCGTGATCTACCTCCACTCTGTCCCTCCCAGGAATGTTTCTCCGAATCAAAACCTTAGTTAGCTAGATTCGCGGGATTGTTGTAGTTCACCCGACACCCCAACCCCACACCTTGTTGTTAAAGTTGTACATTATTAATCAAGCAATTGCAATGAACAAAAGCAAATGTCCCGGGGCTTAGCTTTCTCCCTTCTCCTAAACCAATTAATTATCTCTTGTGGCTCATCATCAAAATCTCTTCCGAAAACCTTACAAACCTCAGAATTCATAAGAGTCATCTCACAATAACTGAGAAAATCGTAGCGGCAATGTATCAGAAGACAGGGGTGCTTAGGAATGCAGGGCATAAACCTCGGCTATAACAGGGGATTCTGTAACATGCTTAGTTTGGAAATCTTACCTGCCTCGTGGCTCATAGCCTAATGGCTAATACCATAATTGAAGTCAACCGTGCAAAGCTAATCGATTTGAGTGTTCCGAGAAGCTAACAGATTTTCCAGCAGGAGAATAGCACTTCGCCTCCAAAATTGGCTTAAAATTTTGAAAACTGGCATCGATCCGAACTCCCGGGATGCGTCAAATTTGGCATCTCATCTTTTAAATTCAAAACCTGGAAGAATACTATCGAAGATGACACTTTCAGATTTTATAGCATTCCCTTTTAGGGACGGACCGGCGTGAAACCCTAAGTAAAATACATCTCCGGCAGGGTTTCTTAGGTCAATCTTCTTGCCCGGAGCCTCACCAGAGCGGTTGGAAATGATGAGATGTTTGAGGTTTGAGGAAGCTGAAAATGACGGCGTCAATTTCTGGTTTTATTGAAGAAATGGTAAACAGAACAATGTTAAACTGTAGGAAAGAAAAAGCTGGGAGCTGTGGAAGAACGAAGAGACGATGAATAAACATATACGGAGTACTTTATAGGAATTTTGTTTTTGATCAATCAAGGCTTCGAATACCGTTATCTTATTGGGAAAATTTTTGTAAAGGGCATCTAAAAGACCAAAATTATTATAAAGGGCACAAGTTTTAACGATGAATTATAAAATACTTTCACTATTTTCTATTTGGCAAATTACTGTGTTGTCCTCCTATCCCACAACCTAATCGTCTTCATCTTTTATTCACTAACACGGTTTCCCTGATTTTTCCTCCGAAAATGGCCGCAAATTAAAGTCGCCTTAATTTATATGCTAATGTAGTCTGCATTCCGCTCTTCTTTCATTTGCTTAAACAATATCAACATGACTTATCCATCTAGTCATCTAGATCTAATTTGGGCAAACACGACGATAACTCACTTTCTAAGCATAAGTTTTGTACTATTGAGCAATGATGCCTCATCGGAAGCGACGATGGCTATGTTTTTTTGCTTTTGATTATTTCTTTTTTTTTTTCGGGCGTTCGTAAACCTTCAAAGATTTGAGGGAACCCTGAATCGGTTGATGAGATGAAAGTTGACTTGGGGAGACTGATTAAGGTTAAAGAGCATAATAATCAGTCTTTTTATTTATAAGTTTAAGGTTAATGAATTTGAAAGGTTGGAAGATCCACAGAGTGAGGTGAGTGGTAACTCCAGTATAAGTGAATCTTAGCTAGGGAGTATGAAACAATAAACTCATAATTAGATTGTGAGGATTTGAAAGTCAATCTGCAATTGTGTTTGACTTTAATTTTGGGAAACCAGATGGAAGAAAAAAATTTTGTTGAGTAAAACTAAATTGATGTGAGAACTGAGAAGTTGACATATAAGAAACAGAGGACGACGGTAAGTATGGAGAAGAAGGGTAATGTCGTCTTTGTGTGAGTGAATAACATTTTGAACTCTTTTAATATTAATGGAAATGAACAAATAAAAATCCACGCCCTTCTTAATAATTTTCATCTTTCTCGCGCCCTTAACAATAATTTTCTCTATCTTATTTCATACTACCTCCGTTAATAAGGGGTTTTTGACATGGTTTCTCTATTCCTTTTTATAAGATGTTTTACTTTTTTAAGATAACATGAAATACTTTTTTCTCCATTTTACCCTTCAGTAGTAAATTAAAATTTTTTTTAATGCCAATACATCTCCTGTAAATTTTAAGGAAAGGCATTAATTAGTCAACAACTACTATTGACTCTATTGGAAAAGAGAAAAAAATGTTTGATTTTCTTCTTTGTAGTAATTAAGACAGGGTAATTTGGAAATTTCACACTAAATTTCTGACAAAAAACTGAAAAATAGTAGTTAAATTGGTATATCTAAAGTTAGTTAAAAGCCTCTTATAATATGAGGAACGGAGGTAGTAACATTCTACAATTAGGCTTCACAATGTGGCTAGTTGAGTTGATTGAAGGTCAACAAATTGAAATTTTTTTCGCCAATGTGGCTAGTTGAGTTGGGCTTCATAAATTTTCCCCAATTTATGTGGTGGAATATGAATTTAAGCAGAAGAAGTTTTTTCGCTTAATTTGAAAATGTGAAAAGTTGTATTTATTTTAGAATTCGAAACTGTTTTGGTAGCTACAGGGTTCAAAGATGGGTGTTTTGGTAGCAATAAGAATGCTTGGTAGATGCCCGGGCGCCCCGTTACTTTAATCTTATGTTAATAGATAAATGAATTTTTGATTTAGAAAAAATAAAATAGCTACACATTTGGTTTTTTTTTTTTTCTTTTTTTTGCCAAAAAAATAAAAATAAAAAAATCATCTGCCAAAAGAGAAAAAATATTGAAAAGTACAACGATGCAAAAATCATACAAAAGAATGTGGAGTAATAAACGGGATAAGTTTATGGGTAAATTTAAATGTTATTTTAATTTGATTGATAAATGATAAATGTTAGGAGTTAAAATTGTGTAGTTATTTTTATAAAGTAGCTTTTGTTTCTCCGGATAAGAATTTTTTTTTTCTTTTAAAAAGGGATGACACGTGGCAAAATGGTTAATGCAATATGGTGCATTTGGAGCCAAAAATTTTTAATAAGAAGTTGCCACATCAACATCATGTATTCTGCTTTAATAGGGAAAAGGGATGTCTGACTAGTTCTTATTGGTTGTAATTTTCATTGTATTTTAGGCAACTTTGCCTCCTCAGTATGTTAAAAAAAAATTAAAAAATTATACCACTTCATCTCAAAACGATTATTTAACTTAGATTTCCAATTTTAATACGAATTAACTAAAAATAAAATCAAAACAGGACAGTTATATTGATGATGACGAAATATTTAGATTAAAATTTGTTACAAATATCTTCAGTTACGCTTAATTACTCCATGCCATCCGGGGCATATTCAAAAGTACACGGATTAAAGATGAGACAGAGCCCACGGATGTCTCTGGAGGATTGGTGCGCAGAATTAAAGTTTCGTTAAAGAAAGAATGGTGGGTCTAATTAAAGCATGAATTTTGAGGGGTAAATTTGAGCATCTGATCGTACAAGATTGTGTACTGTTTCATATGTGATTTTACTAGTGGTTCGAGGCTTCGAGCATGGAGTTATCAGGAGAATGGCAGGTGAGAACAGTGGCTGAGTCCGAGAGAATCCCGCACAATCCGTACCAGACAATTAGACCCTTTTGTTCCTAAGTTGTATTACCAAATCCAGATGAATCGGCAGCTAAAATTGCAATGAACATAAACCACATTTAACCATCGCATTGATTAATGCAATGAAGGCAAACTAATTCATCCGGTAGATCTCTTCCTTCTCTGGAGCCAATCCATTATCTTTTGTTTCTCATCATCGAATTCTTCCTCCCCTAACAATGCCACACTGCATGAGCTGGAAGCAGTCCTGAAAGCTAACAGATCTTTCACATCGAAAAGCTCATTACGAACTCTGAACTGGCAAAGAAAAATGATAAATTTAGTATAGATCTGTCGAAATTGATGTCTTCTCTACTTGAATTCATTGCATTTTATCTAGAAGATGGTGTTTAATAAGAACAAAGACTTCAACCTAGTATCTAAACTCATAAGTCAAACAGTCGGCTAAATAACCTTTTGAAGAAGTCTGGAAGAAAGAGTCTTTTCACTCAATTGCAGCTGAACAAGTGAAAATTGTATGTAAAAATATCTTGTGCAGCTGCTATGGATGAGCATTTCGTTTTTG